CCATTTCTATAGATGACATTCGTATTTATTAACAGATAAATAGTCATTTAATATATTACTGGAAGGAGCAGCAAATTTGCTTCTTAATTTAATACATATTGAATGAGATAAGGTAATCTTCATATAACTAATTAATATTACCCTTAAAATTATACTGAGTAAGGTGAAACTGTAACTTTACTTCAACACCAGTTAATTTAGGTATAATTAATACAAAACTACCTACAATATAATACAACAAAAGACATACATTTACTCGTAAAAAATATGCCTACAACCTGAATGATCGAACGTGTTGACCACAATTGCGTTAAGCTATCAAACCCGAGCCAACATACGATATGTTGTCGACCTATTTTAGCTATTTGTCAAGATGTTATATGGCTAAGGTATTCACTTTCTGAAATATCTCATTCTTATTATTAAAAAAACAGGACTTCCTAGGATTCGAAATCAGGGCAAACTGAATACTTTCGATTGGGCAGCACAGAGAGAGAACTTGTCTGTAACTACACAACGGAGAAGGGAATTTTTGGAATATAATGACGCAATTAACTTAAACATTTGCTTTATGTTTATGACAACATCGTATCTAGTAGACTATTATGCCCATTATTAAAGGTATAATGACTACACAGTATGACAGATGGGAGGAACGACAATAGATTGCGTTAAGCCACACCTCAATCGTCGTATAAATCATGAGATCATTTTCACTCTTTCTTCCATTAATGCTGGATAAAGGAATATAATTAACTGCCTGTGTCAGCGACATCGTCCGCGTAGAATAGATATTGCAAACCTCCTCATTTTTATAAATTATAGGAATTACCTACGTTATCAGCCGCGACCCGCCATTCTTGAAGGTTATCTTAAAAAAAAGGACATATACTGTTACAGACATTATTTTAGATTATTTAAAGAGAAAATTCTTTCATACATATTTTTTGGGTATCTTGGCCCGTTATCGCTACGCTCGCAACGGAAACCCCTATAGATGAATAATTTTTTCCACTGAACTCTATTGGTCACAACTTGATGTTTAAGCCTAAAACTTTCCTTGATATATCCTCTTACCAACACAAAAATAATTTTTCAACTCGCACCAGTAGTTTCAGAGATTAGCGCATTCAAACAAACAAACTCTTCTTTATAGTTTAGTATAGATTTGACAAAGTCATTGGTACAGTGGTAGCAATATATAACTTACAAATCAACTGGCCCCCCTCCCATATGTAAACAATTGCTTTTATGTTCGAGTAAACATTTTTATATACAATTGTAATTTTAGGTAAGTTTTCAAAGTTAAACATATACTCCGCTTTTTGGTTTCAGTCTTAGAGTAGATTTTTAAACATCCAATATCAAATTCCAGGCTTATAAAGTGAGAACACTATATAATGAGTATTATTATCAATACATATTGTGTATAAGAATATATCAAAGTGTTGCCAAAGAACAAAACGAATAAATATGTATAAAAGTGTTTTACACATCGTTCATCACTTTGTGCGAAGTATTTTGAAAGCGGCGCCGTAAAAGAGGAACCGACGTTTCTGCGTATTTAACGTTTTAGACGCAATAATGTGTTGTATAATACGACAGTTCACTGGTCCTAAGACAACATTGTCTAAAGGTACTTAAAACCTTCGATTTAAATGTTAAGACAGATAGCGCTCGTAATCGTAAAAAATACTATTCGTCTATATAGTAAACGATATTGGTTTTTATGTGGTTTCAAACCAAATTACCAGATACCATACTTTAATTACTTTTGCCCAGATATATATTATAAAACTATTTATATTATTTAATATAATCGACGCGGTATCTCAATCGGTTAGAACAACAGCACGGCACGCTGTTTTTTTTATATACAATCGATTTTTAATATAATGCCATCATGTGCAACGTGTGAAAAATAAAGTTTTCATATGTGCATGATGTGTAAATGTACATGTAAGACCAATTCGACCTTGATAGGAAATAAAGATCCGCTTACAACCTTGCATGTACCAACTGCATATCCGAGTGATGGTCCGACTCGTTGGTGCGTCTAACCTCAGCCTCAGCTTACAGTCCTGGTAGGGGTGGTGCATCCATCGGCATCACCAGCAGTCCCTTTCCAACGCACAACGCGGCAACATGTCGGTTTTGTGGCTCGTGCTAACTTTGCTCCCCATCCTCGGTAAGTCAAATATCGCGGCTAGTGATGTGACGGTGATTTTTTACGTGTGATGTGTCACGTTCTGAGGAAGTGACCCAGTGTTGTGCGTTGCGCATCTTACGCGTTTCAGGACGTCCGTGTTCGAAAGTCGAATTTCCTTATTAGAACCGTTATCGATTGTTCCGTTGCGTAAAAGATGTATATAATTTGCTATACACGTTACATATAATATCTTTATTTATGTTATTTTATATGTAATGTTAGTGTCTATATTTTTCTGAATTTAGCACAACTGTATTCAATGACCTACATTGAAAGTTAAAGTAAAAAATATATATTTTGATTTTTGGCAAGGTAATTTGTTATCAGTATTTTTTCAGTTTACTTTTAGACAAAAAATCTTGATTAACTTATTCTAAAAATATTATTTTATGATCACAATATCCTATATAACAAGTAGCAAATGTTATTTTATTCTTAATAGCCGATAAGAGGAATCTTTTGTTTTTAACTCTTTTAAATTTGAAATCAAAGTTTTGCTTGATGGAGTATTTAAAAAAAATACTCTCAATATTCTATACATTGTATTCTTGAGATAGATGAATGCGTGCCTTAAGCCGGTAAAAGTCATTACAATGACGCGCTGACGTTATCGGGGCGTTAATCTGTGGCAGATAGTGTTGTACCGAAAATTGCACAACACTATACTTTCCATTCGTCTTAAGAGTTAGATCTCAGCCCGCGAAGATAATCGATTCCTCAGATTTGCATAAGTGATTCTCTCACGGGCCGCTCTCCTGCTGGGGGGGCAATTCTCAATTAAGTGATATAAGATTTCATACAATTTTAATCGCTTTATACAAACTTCATATAACCCTTGACTAGTATAAGCTAATTGCTTAAATAAAACACTTTAGCGGGTTAAAACGCTATATATATTAGTTAAATTTTTTTGAAAATTATTTAACTACGGCCCGACGTTTCAAATAAGTTTAACAAAAGTATCGCGTTTTAAACCTTAATTTTAATGTGTTTTAAATAAATGTGTACTACTCGCGTAAGCTACAGACAGTATCTAATTGTTTTATATATATATTATATATATAGCCAATTTTGTCTATCAATTTACCGTCTCATTGCTACGTATTCTATTTTAAAAAGACATCTCTAAGAGTATTCTGAAGCAGTACTCTTGCCTCTGAAAATTTTGTGCTATTAAATTAGTACCTATGTAAGTTTATTTGTCGATAACTCGAATTTCTTTGTTTAACTCGAGTTTTGGCAAGAGAGATAATATATCGGAACGCGCATGCTAGCCCGGTTTTACTGTACGGTGAACGGATGAGCACTCCAAGGCGACCTCAACGACGCACAAGTACTTGATGGTAATTGGCAATTCTAAATTCCGTTGAATCCGAAAACACGTTTTGACCATGTACGATCATGATGGGATTCTATTTTGGGTTCTTCGGTAGGAAGACTGCTGTTTCGTAAGGCAGTTCTCATGAATCCTTATCTGAAAGTAAATAAGTTATTAGTATATACGTTCAGAAGAATTAGTAGAGACTAATATAAAAAGAAATACCTATTGTTTCGCTTTTAGGGCACTTATGCAAAAAAACACATTTGCAATTTACGATTTCCACCAAATTTTTTATTCTTTTTTTGTAAGTATAGCTTGATTTATCACGTTATGACCGTTACTTTATTTAATGACTACATTAATGATTCATAAAAAAAAATATTTGTCACATAAATTCATACTTACATGCAATTAAGCAATAGTTGTACTACGTCAAACAAAAAATTATTTAATTCTGACAGAAAGTAGTACTAAGTATTATAGTTAATTAAGTAAATGTAATATTTAAATAACTTATTTAAAAATACCTTTGTCTAAATTTTCAAGGCCGCGGTAAACAATGCAGTTTCAACAAATTTCGAAAATACGAAAAGAGGTTATGAACTCTCAAAAACACCCCCATTTGCGACGAAACAACGCAATACGATTTTAGCAATAGACATCCTAAAAGCGACATATCAGATAAGCCTTATATGCTAATGATATTCAAACTATGACTAATTATAAGCTAATTTGCATATGTTATGTAAAAAAGTATACCTCTAAATATTTGTAGTTCAAGACCGGAATCAGGAAGGAAGAACTGTTGTAACGAGTAGTTACAAGGTCTTTCAGTTCATAACAAAATTCACGCATTGTTGCTTACAGTAAGTGCTTTCTTGTAGGATAGTTTGGTGTTAATTTGAACGACTATATATTTAGAATTTTCGCTGGAAACTTCGCAAACAAATCTTATATACCATGTTTATAATAATATTATAGTGAAGGTGTACTTTTATATTACGACAATAAAAAAAAATCGTAACCAAGTTGAAGAATACATTTAAAATTGTTTCTTTAACATTAAAAGTAGATCTACAGTATACAAAACGGTGGATTTTAATTTCTTTCAGATATTTCAAACATGAAATTATAATTTTTTATTGACTAATTTTCAATTTAAACGGATTCAGATCTATTTAGATTCAAACAATTGCTTAGACAGGCGGGACTCCACCCTACGATCATGTAACGATGTTTTGTTCTCATTTTTGGGATTTAAAATTTATGAAATATATATTTAATATATTGCTTCATACTTATACAAGTCCACATTTTTGAAGAGAGTAGTTATTAGAGTTATGAGAATTTTAACATCAACCCGCAAAATACTTTTCCAATTTAACACATTGTTAAAACAAATATGTGTAAATTAACAAATTATGTTTGCTCAACCGTGAGAATGTATTATGCAAAAAGAAAGTGTCATTGATGCCTCCACTGTTCATTGTGTTGCACGACAGTGATCGACAGCTTTTAGCTGACTCATCACAACAATTAGTTATAGTGTGTCGTATATATGATGGTATGTTTGCTAGTTTACGATAATTAGTAATTGTTTGTGAATATATTTGTTTATTGATTTGTTAATTTATAGAAGAATTTAATAGTAGAGATTAGCAATGAAACCGTTTTTTTTTGTAAGAAAGTCTAATATAAACATTAAAAATTTCTCCTCTTTGGCATTTTTCTCTTTGTGTCGTCACTTTTAACAAATTACGTGAAACAGCGTAGCAAGTACCATCTAAACAAAGGTTTTTCTAGCTTTTCAATCGTATATAATAAATTTAGTTCAGTCACAATATATCTTAGCGGATTCATTAATCAAACTCATCCATAGAGTAATTGTCGAGTGTATTTAGACCATTTGCATAAGCGCACGACCTTTCGAGGATGCGGCACCTTTGCGCTGCGCTTGCGCAACCCGATGTTATCTGCCGCTGGCCGCTCACGCATGGGAACTCTGCTTAACCTCAGAACCAATGTACCAACATTCACTAGGCATAAACCTTCGAATGTATAAGAATGGCTGGGGAATTGTTTGGTCCAAACTGAGTTTTTACTTTTTAAGATTTCTCGCAGTTTACTCACGACCTAAAGGTTTATATTTTAGTTACATTTATACTACCTATAATTCAAAAAGCAAAAGTTTTTTAGTCTCTATCTTTACATAATGGTTATTTGGAAAAAGTTTAGATAACATTTTAAACTAGATAACAGTTTGAATAAAATTTTAAAATAACGATCGTTACTAAAATCTATCCTTTGACATCAAAGATACCGCCATCTGATTAATCTATGTAAAAATATGGTATACAATTCTATTAGGTCCCATTTACGATGTGGTTGGGTAAACAGAATTAATTTTGATCGCGTAATCGGCCTCAATATAAAATGGTCGATGCTAACACCACCGCATATTTATTTTGTCATTAGTGCGATATTGCACGATATGAAGATGCTATAGATAGGTATGTTATAAAATTACCAACCTAGTTTTGTGTTTGGTTATGAACTTATTGTAACCGTTATATTAGTATTTGAAGTAAAAAAACCATACTGATTTATATAGCGAATGTGTGTTTGGCCTAGTCCATGTCCTTTTTTTAGGCTCTTAATTATTTACCAGTCATAGAATATTATAAATTAGTAACAAGCTACTACAACCAACCTACCTATTAGAACCAACGTTCAAAAATACTTTTTTTAATGATAGATGAAGCGTAGACAAGCCTACCTAGCGCCCTATTTTGACTTTAGGTATTGAAAAAATCACAGACTGGATCCGAAATGCGATTGAGTCTTGTCCAACTTATTTAATTGTACTTTTATGTAAACAGGGGGGAGCTCAGCGATTCAACTGTCGAGGACGTATCTTGGGAGCATATTATGCAGACGCTAAATCTGGCTGCAAGGCTTTCCATGTGTGCGTAAGAGTGGCTGGTGGCGGCGTTAGAGACTTCAGGTTCTTCTGCCCCCCCGGAACTCTGTTCCATCAAGAGGCCCAGACGTGCACCGATTGGGGTGATGACGACCCCCTTGCCTGTCCAGCAGACATCTACGACGGTCAGTTTGATCTGTACAAGATCGGATCCGGTGAGCTTGCTGTGGCACTAACCTATCATGCTTAGACTGTGGTCTGTTATAAACGCAAGTCGCGTATAACGTTATGCGTTACGCCGTGTCAATATAGGAATATAGCCTTTTTCGTATTCGAATTTCGACGTGTTAAACACTTGTGCTACTAATTGCGAACCATTGCAGCGTGAACACTGCATTTAACAAGATGTCGACTCACACGCATTTCTTGGGATCCAATAGTAAACATCTTGACACGGAATAACTCTTCACGCTAATAGTGTTCTACAGTGTTTGTATGAGACCATAGCCTTGATGTAGTCAAAAGTTACGAGTCGTCACCATCACAGTCTTCTGGTGACGATAGTTGGTCTATATGTAGATAATTTACGCTTTCTCTCAATGCAACATCCGCTATGTATAATACAATTGTAAAAAGTAGTTAGCTTGCAAATGCTAGTAAAGTAGAGCTTACAGATGAACGCTAAACAGTTGGAATAGAACAGGGTAGTGTAGTTTTAGCAAAAGGTAACACTTTAAATCGTCCTAAACTTCTAATATTATATATTTTGTATTCAGGATATGACACGAAAAAATTGTCGCCTCCTGGAAATCGTGAAGACGAGTCTGAGTTTGGGCTTCAAAGAGCAGAGACAGGAGATCAACGTTTATCGCAAAATAACGCAGCATCCAACAATGGCGGTTCTGATTTGCGAACGGCTCATTCGTCAGACTTTTTCAGTGGCCAGAGGGAACGCGGGCGGGATGAATCCATACCTCAATCGCAACCCTCTCCTATTCCAGCACGCCGCCAGTCTTTTAGAAGAGCATCAACACCACGATCAACATATCCAACCTCTCAATTCACTACACCATCTCCAACATCCCAACCCTCAAGTACGGTGCATTATGATGCCCCAAAACGGAAACTATACCGTAAAAGACCGGTTTATATTTCTTCGACCGCACCACCTACAACGATCCAAAACTCTTATTCCTCTTCAGTGCAAACAAACCCACCTCAAAGTTATTTTATTCCCAAAAATCCTCCGGAAAACAGACCGGCACCTACAACTACGGTTAATATCCCACCTGAATACAAAGATGAATACGTGGAAGTAAGCCGTGTAACTCCAAAACAAAATAAATATTTCGTTCACAGTCAGCCTACTACACCATTCCCATTTTCCTCGCAAACACCCGTAAATAAGCAAGCAGGGCTTATTGAACTGTACAACTTGAACGGTAGAAATCAAGAGAACAAAGGACCGCAGGATGGTCGTCCTTTTAAAGTTAAGAAACAGTTTCAACGTCCAGGCCGATGTTGCTAAGCCGACAGACTTTACAAAAATAAAACCATACAATCCAAACTTTAATAGAGGAACACCGGGCTATTCAACAACGTACCCAACGACAACTGTCGACTACAATTCTGCTAGAGGAGTCATTACCAGTACCCCCGGCTACAGGAACTTTAATAGCGTATCATATGAGACCGAGAAAAACAATTTCGTATCCTTCCCCAACGCCAAACAGAATTACTATAATAATCCCACTAACGCACCTTCTACTACCACATTTTATACCACCACCCGTGCTGATCCCTATTCTAACTTAAACACAGTAGCTTATAACACTAATAATGCTCTGAATTCGCAATCGTCAAACTTCGGAAACAGCCAGGAAGATGATGGGCAGTACCGTCTACCACAGGGAGAAGATGATGGTCAATATCGGCCAGAACTTTACGAAAGAGAAACAGAGCTCCTTTCAGGTGCTCATTCGCTGAATATTGCAGCTAGTGGCAATAGACTTCCCGAAGATCAGAAACAAGAGAAGGGTTTCTCACATAAACAAGTAGGAAAGGTGTCTACTCCCAGACCCTTCAGGGCACCAACGACAACACCATCTACTCAGCAACCGATAGAAATATATACAAGTACAGCGCGGCCGTATTCTGAACAGACGTCTCGTACTTTCGACTATTTCCAGACGTATACGACTACTTCGAGGCCGTACGATGCTCCATCCGCGCCGTCCTTTAACTTATCTCCTCTAAACGATGTAGCGCCTAAAATCACTACCACACTGTCACCTAGGAAACCCGACGTATATTCACCAAGCTACGAAAACATTCAACCGTCATCTTCATCCAGACCACCACATCCGCACTCCCACAAACGGCCGAATAAAGAAGATTCGAGTTACGACTACGCTTATTACGACTCCGATCCGGGTTTCTCGGAATACGACCAAATAGAGGAATTCGGAAGAACTAAATCTAACGTTTAATACTCGCTTTGTCTATCCTTCACTGCCATTATTCTTCTTCGGATAAGCCGAGTTGATAAAAAACATTTGTATTTATATACATATTGGAAGATTTAGTGTAAATATTCTTCACGTTTTATCGAGTTAGACTGAAATATGCCAGTTTTAAACCACTTGAGGCTTATCCTAAGTAATACTACTAAATTATTATGTGATATGTAGACGTGCTTAATTAGGTAGGTAATATTTATGTAAGACCACTTTTTCATTATTAGAGCAGTAATTCATGGAAGTAAGCGATATTGCAAGAAAAGAGACATTCTCTGTGTACAATATGAAGTAAGCTTAAGTATTGTAAAATATAATATTATGTAGTGTAAATAAAGTTAATATAAAGACAATGGTTATTGTTCTTTTTCACGTCTACTTAAGTTTGCGAAAGGTGTACGATATAAAGACGAAATCTGGTGTAGCTTGCGATGGCGTACACAAAAAACATTTAAATAAATATATACAATTAGTTTATTCCAATCTATATAAATAGATATATTATCATACCTAAATAAATACCTTAGAGTTATGTTCAATCTTAAATCCTACCAGAAAGTTTGTTCAAGTTATCCAGAATATTCTATTGTCTATATTGTATTTATAATATACAAAGAACTCGGTAGCCTCATAATATATAAATCATATTTGTTTTCATTTGTGGCAAGAAGATATAAGTAAATAGGTACTGTCTGTAGTTAATGCGACTAGTTTTGGATGCTTTGCAGCAGCCGTGGTCACGGGGAGACCGTATGTCGGGCCGTAGTTAAAAATAATTTTCAAACAAGTTTAACTAAAATATATCGCGTTGTAAACTCTTAAGGTGTTTTATTTAAAAGATAACTATTTGCCAGTGTGATTTTGAGGAAATAATTTTTATCATATAACTATAGATTGTTTGTCACAAACGTGTAGCTCAGTTTATGCATTGATAAAACTCCCTTGTAGCACTATTATTGTAGGAATAGTAGACAAAAACAATATCACACACGTAAAACTGGAAGAGTAAAAGAAATTAATTATTTTCTACTAAAACCGTATAATATATCTCTCATAGTATGTTAAGAATTTAGTATATTATCGCAAGGTATATAAATTTAAGTATAGACTTGTACATGTTTAGCAAATTTGCTAATACATTTTTAAAGGATGTATAGAATACATATTAATGAATTTTTCTAAAAAAAAAACAACTTCACTAATGAATTAAAAATTACGACTCAATTTTTTTATTTTTGTAAAAATTTTCGTGGCAACAAAAAATGCGCCATTAATTTTATTTGCTTGAATACCACTTTTTGCAACATAGTAGTGACATCTAGTGTCGAGTAGCATACATTTTAGATGGTCATTTACAGCAGACGAACATTGCTAAAATGCTTACAACGTTGTTTCGAAGAAGTGTAGATATTGTTACGACCATTATTTTTGACATTACGTTATCCAAAGCTACAGGCACATTTGAAGTAACGATTTTATAATAAAAGTTTTACGTAAAAGAAATCTTTCGCAGCTTACAGTGAAAAATATAAGATATGCCGTAGCTAATCACGTAAATTGAAGTTAAAAATACTTATAGCAAGCGAAGCAAAAATCTGTGCTCACCTTGGTTCAGGTATAGAGGAAACAAAAACAACGAATCGTTCTTATTTTGTTTATTTAAATAAGTATCACAAAGTTTATGATAAGTTACAAATTTTGTCATAAAACTATTTGAATGAGACAAAATTTTAAACTTCTTTTATTGTCTATTACTATCTAAGACTTAGCTAGGGACGGACTAAACTAAACCTTGTGGAATATAAGACGCATTTTTATAACTACTTCGTGTGGCAAACGGAATGAACTTCATACATTTTTCGCATTGCATTCGAGGCACGAATTTAAATAACTGATACCATGGTTCTTAACATAGATATTAAAGCTACTTATAAGTATAATTTTCAACCTTAACAATCGGCTTGAACATTACCTAATACAAATAATGGTATATTTTAATTTAATGGCAAATTGGGCGCCTTTGAAATATTTTTCTGAAATTGTTGCTCGAAATGCGACGACAGGCGTTTTTAACACGGATTAATTATCTGATTGTATATAAATGTCGTGTTATACACAGACAACTTAACTTAGATATTCATTTGTTTATTATTATTGTCCGTTGAAATGTTTTCCTCGAAGGAGGAAATCAGGTACTTTGAACAAGTTCAACATCTTAACTACATATTATATGGAATGACAAATTCTTGCATAATCAAATGCAACAAGGATATCAACTCCCCCTCTTGTATGGTGGAAAACTAACTAGTGAAATGCATGTTGCATGAATGATGATTTCTGTTACCGTTCGCTTGCCTCAACAATATAATTAAAACTAATTGAGCTTTCTTCTTTGAGATTGCGAATAAGTCCATTATAATTTATACACCTAGATGGTAGACCTATGATTATTGTGATGCCACTGCGCCGGCCATCCTCTGCCGCACGTCATTGAGTGCTGACCCGTTGCTGAAGCCGTTCAGAAGTGGCAACACTCTGTCCTTTGATTCCGCTTTGGATTCCACTATCAGCTTCTCGGCTTTCGCTCTCTGTGCAAAGAATAAAATATATTATTAGATTACTGAATAATTAAAAACAAAAGGTATAATATTTTTCACATGTTATTGCACATGATGGCATTATTTATTTAAAAATCGATTATAGACTTGCTCTATAGCAACAGCAAGGAACGTGTATGCCGGTTAGAGTTCTGTTTGTCGTAATTTTTTTTCAATCGATTTTGAACTTAAGCAAAAAGTATTTCACAAAATTATTCCTTTAATTTAAAAATAGATTTTGACTTGCAACAAAGTTTTTAAAATTACATACTTTTTTACGTAATAGGATTTACATTCTTTAATTATATTTAAAAATTAATTCCAAATCAATGACCTGAGGCAACTCAAAAAATTTTAACGATGAAGGTGGTAATTAACAAAGTTTTATGCCTTACACCGTTGCTACATTTAAAATACTATCTTTTTTTAGTTTCGTTATTTTAAAACTTATAACTTGGCCAAGCATTGTATGTTTTAGAATTTCGATTCGGCCCTTTGGTCTCATTTATTGCTAATAATTAATTTACAATTTTTCTGAAATATGTTGGATTTCGTTTAGACTTTCTGGATATAAACGGGGTGGTATAAATACCGCTCTACCGTCCAGAATAAGAATACCGTCGAGCTTAACTGCTGGGGTATTACACCTTCCATCAAGAGAACCCATACTCATCTATGTCATAGAAAATATGAATCTCACCTTAGCCTTCTTAAGGTACGCCTGTTTGTAGAAGTCAGAGAATAGGTAGTAGAAGAGAACAGCGTGCATGCCGATCCACCAGACGAACGCCCGAGGGTAGTCGCAGTCGATGAAGAGCAGTTGGAAGGCGTGGATGAAGACCAATACGAATTGGATCTGATGACAAGAAGATACGTTTATTTACACAAATGCTATAGACCTGGATTCCGTCTTTAAGTTTAACTAATATATAGCGTAAATACTGTCTATAGTTTACGCGAGTAGTACACATTTAAATAAAACACTTTAACGGTTTAAAACGCGATATATTAGTTAAACTTATTTGAAAATGATTTTTTACTTCGGCCCGCAACCATCCGTTTTTAGCATCCGAAACGTCGGGCCGAAGTAAAAAATCATTTTCAAATAAGTTTAACTAATATATCGCGTTTTAAACCGTTAAAGTGTTTTATTTAAAAATAATATATAGCGTTTTAAACCGATAAAGTGTTTTATTTAAATAATACAAATTGACTATAGATTGTGTTGTATAGTCGAGTAAAGCGGAATAAAAAGGATTTTTCTTATTTAAGTACTTGCACATTGAGAAACGTCAAAGAATTTAAGTCCTAAAAATAATATTTCTCCTGTCCACATTTCTAATATTTTATTATATTATTTATAAGTGAAAAAACAATAGATGATTAATTTAATACACAGTTTATTCTATTATAACAATGTGAAATTTATTGGCAAAAACCATTACGTAATCTATTAGCATACAAATTGTATATGTTTTTCTACATTAGTATATCACTAGAAGAGGCTCCAATCTTAGTCAACAATGTATATATGTTTATTAAAAATCCATATAAGCCAGTATCGAATTGTACCGGATGTGAACTTTGGAACGATTGGGCGGCCAATTTATATTACGTCAGTAGCTTACGGCAACAACATGGAACTAAAATTTATACTTTACACAAAATTTAAGGTTTTTTATAAACCGACTAATTTGAGCTTTTCCTCAAGACGTCACTGAATTCTTTGGTTCATATTTTGAGATCGTTAAAGTCAGAAAAAACGATAAATCGATATTTAATATCGGGGACGAGTTTTTATTATTATAATAAAATATTTATTGCAATACATAATTATTATCATTTTTATAAAATGTTTTAAGAATTATTAGTTATAGTGCGCTACAGCCAAGAGTGTAATGTTAATCAATCGGTTCGGAAACTTTTTATATAATACATAAATATTAAATATGTAAATATTTATGTACAAGATATTTTGTCATCAATTAACAAGTACAATTTATTACTATTAGTAAATGAAATCCAAGTTTAATTTTAAAAGGTTTTAAAATGTGTATGTATTTTTATATGTACTTATAAACAACGTAATTTTCAGGCGATTTTAAATCTTCAAACTTAAATACTGTAATGAAATGGACTCTTATCCATCAAAAAATGTGATTATTTAAATTAAACACTTTAACGGTTTAAAGCGCGATATATTAGTTAAACTTATTTGAAAATGATTTTTAACTTTGGCCCGACGTTTCGGATGCTTTGCAGCAGCCGTGGTCACGGGGAGACGTCGGCCCGAAGTTAAAAATCATTTTCAAATAAGTTTAACTAATATATCGCGTTTTAAACCGTTAAAGTGTTTTATTTAAATGTGTACTACTCGCGTAAACTATAGACAGTATTTAGTGTGATTTTTTTTGTATAACACCTGTTTCACAAACACAAGAAAACATTAGTCATAATATTTGCTCGTAGGCTGAGATAAATGTTGTAAATATTTATATCTATTTAAGTTAATTCAAAAACTATGCATCTGTAGCAATAGATTATATTTTTGTTTTGTATCTACATTTTTCTGCAAACCCGATAAAAAAAATAACAATATTTGTTTCGAATGATAACATTCATACTTTTCCCGCGCAGTTATTGACCAGAATACGCCTTTAATTTTTTTTTATTATTTTGACAATTAACAATTTATATTATGTGCCAGTGTTATTTATTCGATGGACCTCTTTTATAAGAAATGCGGAGTATTGAGGCAGACATATCTAATGTCAATTTGATCACCAAGCAAACTCACCAGACGTAAACAATATTCCATTAATAAGCTTCGCGGTCATATGTTAAAATAGTATTTAAATTATAATTACCATCTGAATGACTGTGATGTACTTCTTCCACCAGAGGTACTTCTGGACCTTAGGACCGAGGGCCGCCAACAAGTAGTAAGAGTACATAACGATGTGCACGAACGTGTTCAGCATTCCGAAGAACGTAGAGTGGCCACCTGGAAACGAAGAATCGGATTAAAAATATAAATCATGTCTGTTACGCGAGAAGTTTCACGTTTTAAACCGTTAAACGTAATTTACTTAAACTATCATACAAGACCACTACAATATTATGTTAGATTGACAGTTTGAAAGGTATTTTCAGGTAGGATTAAATATACCTACATGCTAATTAACTATGTATGTCCTCAAACAACATATAATAGGTATAGGTAAACGATAAGAGATTAATTTGACGTATTTGATAGATAAATAATATTAAATCGTAAAGCCGTATAACGCGTTGTGTTGTCCGAAACTGAAGATATCTACTACTTTTTCTTTCGTAATCGAGTAAAACAACTTGTATAGAATTAATCACACACGAGTGAGTAATATCTCGGTGTATTATATACTACAATAAAATATTAACTTAAAAATACCACTATTAACATTGACATCGTTTGTTTATTGCTCGTTTAATTTGTATGTACAAATGTTACAAGTACGAATAAAATTACAATTCAAACGTCGACTTCCTAAATAATATAGCGCTAACTTGATTTATGTAATTTTCCAGTGCATTTGTTAAGGTTTTTTTCCACGGCGCAAAATCTTATTTATACAATGGCTGGTAGGCTAGACGTGAGTAGTAATTATTTCTACTGTAGCTCTTGTTAGCACAGGATTGTTACGGGAAATCCCTGAATGAACACATTTTGTAGTAAATTACTAGATATCTTTTTGAAGATCTAATGAATACGATATAAGACAGATTTTTTTTTTGGCATAAGCTAACGAACTTCAGTGAATATAATCTCAATGATGACTGTTTATACACTTTTCCAAACCTACAAAGTTGTTTTAATATAAGTAATAGTAAATACTGTCAATAGTTTACGCGAGTAGTACACATTTAAATAAAACACTTTAACAGTTTGCAGCATCCGGAACGGGGTCTCCTTATTATCTATTATATATTTCGTTGTTTACAAATCAATAGAGAAGTTCATTTGTGCATAACCGTAATAATTAAACGAGATAACAATTAGAATTTCACTATTTTGCTAATCATTCTTAACGTTGATTATAAATTAAATATGTACTCTGTCAAATACTGTAGTAATAATATGTAAGATTTCTTAAAATAAAAGTGCAAATCCTTGGCACGCTTCACAGCTAAAACCTGTGAATAAGTGTCGTTAGCAACGTCTCGTGTTAAAGTACGGTGTGACATAAGATTTATAAGACAGCAATAGATGTACGTAATAAAAATAATGTCCTTGTTGAATTTGTATAATTTTTTTATAATAAAATAATTATTTTTAGGTGTTTTAAACTTTGTTTTTTAACGTTTTCTATAGTTGGAAATTTGGTTATAAAAGGGTCACCCAGTTTAACTTCGAACTTAAGTGAAATCTGTTGAACCTTAATACGTAAGTGTTAAGGCAGAAATTACATGGCGCGAAAGGTGCATGTATCAATAAGTTGAAAAAATTCGACGATGAGGTGTAGGACTCGGTAGCTCAATTTGTAGAGCAACAGCACGGAACGCTGACGATGCCGGTTCAAGTCCTGCCCGAGTCGAACATTTTTTCAATTTATTTTCGATTTTTAAATTAAGATGCCATGCGTATATATATTTATATTGCACGCAATTTAGAAATATCTTTATATCATAATATCTATCTTTTGAATTTGAATTTGAAAATGTTTCATTTGGACATGCTGGTTCGTCTAATGATAGCGATGTTTGGCTAATAATTTACGGACCATGGGTTCAATTGTAAACGAACTCAATTTTTCTCAAATCAATTAACAATTTTTATTTTTATTAAAAGAGTGGTCGAAATATTGATTTACCGTCCGTGTCACAATCTTCACAGATCGAAAATAAGTCCAACTGCGTTTTGTTTTAAGTCTGTATATTTTGGAATATCCAAAGCCTTAATAGGGTGACAACACACTGTTTAGATGTTTGCTTGCGTGTTTTACCAAGTGTACCGTGTTTGTTTGTCTTCGTCTGGCATAGAAACACCCAAACAAAGTTTTTTTCGATGTTAAGAATTTAGAGGTACAAATTTGAATACAATTTACGATAAACAATAAATTTTCCGCGTCACCATGGGAAATGTCACTGCATCCCGATAGAAGGGAACTAGAAAATTCTTTGTCATAGATCGCTCAAAGTCACAACAGTTGAGCCAATATTTTATCGGTTTTAAGTAAATATAGTAGTGTAAATATGTATTTTACTGAGCGTAACCACATATAGCAGTGCTTTGTGCATAAAATATAGGTTTATGCTATACTCGTATTAAGTTCAAACAGACAAAAGAAATTATTATACAACTAGCTGTATCAGCGACTTCATCCGCGAAAGCGTTATTTTGGGCATCTAAATTCGTTTTGTAAACCTGTTCATCTTTACAAATTAAGCTGTTACCCACAATGTCGGTCGCGTCCCTTCCCGTCGTTCTAGCAAGTTAATCTTCAAAGATAGACATATAGGGTCAGGGATGTACTTTAGATCATTTAATTTAGTAAAATGTATATAGCGTTTTAAACCGTTAAACCGTTTTATTTAAATAGTGGCAGTATTGATGCGAATAAAATATTTATTTTACTGCACAAAAGCGTTAATAAGGATAACGGATGCGGTAAGAATATGCCGTGATGGAATAATTATTTTGTAATATTTTATACAATTATAATAATTCAGCGCGGAAACTGTTTTCTAAGTATATTACATTGCGTTGCGGCATGGGTAATTGATACCATGAAACATTTTTTATGATTAAATTAACATTTTTACGTGTTGTAAAGCGTTGTAAATAGAAAAATGTTTCTATATGGAATAATAGGGTTTAGAACACGTACCCACACGCAGCGTGCCGTTGTTGTACTAAACATGCTACGAGTACTATGTCACGGTCTCTTTTATTTAAAAGTATCTCATCTTTGTAAATTTAAACTGTCACCCACAACGTCTGTCGCGTCTTTTCCTTCTTGCAAGTTATTCGTAAAAGATAGACATATAGTGCCGTGGATATTTTTTTAGACCATTCCAAGATATAATCATCCTTTATACATGTTTTTGTATCTTGAACCGTTTTCGCAGCGTTCACACCGAAAACCCACTAGGGTGAATAATTTTCTCCGATTTTTTTCACATTTCTTGCTGTCTTCTTGCTCCTATTAGTCGCAGCGCATGTGTCTTATAGCCTATAACCTTCCTCGATAAATGCTCCAACCAACATTAAACGTCATGAATTTATCAATTTGAACCTGTAGTTCCAACAAACAAACAAACTCTTCAACTTTATATATTAGTATAGACTATAGATGCACCTTTGGTGTTAGTCGTGGGTTCGTATTTTGGTTATCAAAAGGATTTTTGTTCATCAGCCCATGGACTAACCTGAACTTAACCTGAGCTTTAACTATTCTACCGTATTTGCACGTTCCGTGACTATTTTACAAAAGTAAACATTATTTCTAATTCGAGAACGATCCCACACTACGTCCTAAGAAGATACTTTGTAAACAAACTTCATAAATTATATAAAGCCTTCTTTGGTGTAAGAGCAAGGTCGTGCTAAGCTAATATTTTGAATTCGACGTACGAATTTAGTTAAAGAGTTCATTATCCTTTATATATTACGTAAAATAGATTATATTTAATGACTTAACTTGCTAAATATAATCTGTGCTTAATGAAAGTTGTTTTGGGTTGCCATTTTTTTTTACATTTACTACAAAAGTTCTGGTAGATTCATCAACTTCCTTGTTGACGTAATTTAATATGGTTATAGCAATACAGTCCATCGTTATCATATATTTTATTGTGTAAATAAACGCAAAGATGGTTTAAGGAAAATTGAAAGATCAACCGCGTGCTTCTTTTAAATGAAAATATTTCATTTCCGTATCTGTTGAGTCTTGAATAAGTTCAAGACGTATTAGACCGGAGTGCAATCACGTGAAATAAACATTACTTGTAATAACATAAACACTGTTTGTAGCTTACGCGAGTACACTATTAAATAAAATACTTTTAACGGTTTAAAACGCAATATGTATAAATTAAACTTATTTTAATTACGGCCCGACGTTTCGAATGCTTTCAATTTGTATAATTGAAGCACTTTTATAAAGTAAAATCGAATAGACGATAACTCGGTTCTAAATATAAACCTTATAATGGGATTCATAAAGTTATTTTTTAATTAACACGTTCAGTTTGAACTTACCTGGTGTGAATTTGACTCCGAACCAGACTGACATCGGCATGATTCCGTGGTGAATCACATGAAGCTTCGACACATGATCAAACTTCTTCCTTAATATGAAGAAGAACTGAAAGAACGAATAACGTAAATGAGTACGAATTGAGTTAGAAAAGAGAAATTTCAAATAAGATTGAACATTGGTAATTCGATATTTGAAAGTCTAAAATCCTACTCTTATAGTAGTCTAGTAGTCCAGTAGTCTTCAAGACTTCCATTTAAGGTATAATTGATCAACTAAAGCGTTATGTCTTCAGTCTTAGTTAAAAGGAAAATCCTGGTATATGACGTAATATTGTGTAACGCTAATTTCATATTGTAACAATGAGTTACAAAAATGCAATCACTTACATTTACAGGTATTTTTCTGTGTCTCTTCTACTGTACAATTAAATGTACAGGCAAGTTATAGTACTTTTCGCCCACTGAATTAAAACCTAGGACGACGGTATTAACGCAGTGCGTTGTAGTAATGTATTTTAAACGTACCGTATCGAAGAATTCCGTGAACTTTGAGAAGTAGTACCACCAGCAACCGGCGACAGTCTGTAACAAGGGAAAAGGTCAAATAATATAATAATCATATTGTGAGCTTTCACAACAATTGTACATATAGGCGACTTTCTTATGTTTTTTTTATATAAACAAACACAATATAGAGTCTGTTTGAATTAAAATACAATGATGAATACATCTGTTTCGTTGTACGGCTTTATTTACAGATAGAAAAGTTACTTCCAAAACCTGGTCGGTTAAAACTAAATCATGTTTTATCAGGATTCGATTTTAAGACTTCTCGCAATTAATACAATATAAAAGCTTTTAGTATTTTATTATTATATACCTTTGAAAACTTTTATTAATTTTTATATATTATTGGACATGAAGGCACTATATATCCGTGCTGTTGCTCTAAGGAACGCTGACGATGCCGGTTCAAGTCCTGCCCGAGTCGAAAACTTTTTCAATATATTTTCGATTTTTAAATTATTATAGACCTTACAATATAGTATAGTAAATTTATCTATCAGACCTAGAGATCTATGTGATCAGTCTCTAAGCTGTTATTAGACCTTATTAGTAGATCCTCCCTAGGTTTTTGAATCTACTTTGAAATATAGCTAGTGTAGGAGGAGGTCAAGTTAAAAGATGATCTACCGAATGGATGGAGGGGGACAGCAAAACAACAAAACTACTTCTTAATAAATAAAATAAAATACATGTAGTCTATGGATATTAAGACGTAAGTAATAGTTATAATAGTATTAACTAATTGTCATATGAGATTTTAATCATCAAAATTTGTTTAGCGAAGGTTTTTAATATCATTATTATAGTTAAGTTTATTTCAGGTTCATTTATTTAGAAGATCGGGTGAGACCCAATCCAAGACTACGTATTAAAAAATCAACAGAGGCTTCTAAAGTGTTTTATAACATAAGCCGACTTTTAATAAGGACCTATTAAAAGTGCATAGCATTTAAATATGATTAGTAGTTATTTACCGTAAACAAGGTTGTAATTTTCAAAGGACATCCGCATTATCACGGCTAACACAACTATAACATAGATCAATCGATGGAAGACTAGAAATTATCTTTTTACTTCCTCGTTTGTTAGATGCAAAAGGTTCTTTAGTAACAACACAATACGATTGTCTATAGAATATGGTTTACTATATCTATAAGGACAACTTGAAGGTAGATGAAAATATCCCAGATATGTGTCATCTAAACAAAATACGCCGTCAACCTATTTTGGCTTTGCATATACGGTTATGCACAAACTGAAACTGACATGCGATTAAACTTGGCGGCTTTTACAGTGGACGGTAGTTCATGACTCGGACGGAATATTTTTTATATAAATACATAAAACACTTTAACGGTTTAAAACGCGTTATATTAGTTAAACTTATTTGAAAGTGATTTTTAACTTCAGCCCGACGTTTCGGATGCTTTGCAGCAGCAGTCTCCCATTGACCACGGCTGCTAACACTAATAATAACTTATAATCGCTAATTTATCGCGTTTTAAACCGTTAAAGTGTTTTATTTAAATGTGTACTACACGCGTAAACTATAGACAGTATTTCATTCCTATTTATATTTTTAACTTCGGCCCGACGTTTCGGATGCTTTGACTCTCCTCGTGACCACGGCTGCTGCAAATCATCCGAAACGTCGGGCCGAAGTTAAAAATAATTTTCAATCAAATAAGTTTAACTAATATATCGCGTTTTAAACCGTTAAAGTGTTATATTTAAATGTGTACTACTCGCGTATAGACAGTATCCTATCACCTATTTAATACCCAGATTTCCCCCCTTTGCCCGTTGGTTAGGCTTTATAATAAAAAGGAGGAAACCAGTTCTAAAGTTACGCAAGGGTATAACAAAATAGAAAAACAAACAGGCTGCCGATATTATGTATGAGATACATACTTTACGAAAAGCGTGTATTTTCAGATCTTATGATTTTAAACCAGAAAAACGCAATACAATATAGTAATTTTATATTGAAGGCGAGCCAGTGTATATAAAATGAATATTTTTCCAATTACCATTTAAATTGCGCTAGGTTATGTTATTAGATCATTTACATTCAGTGATCATATTTACATTTGTATATTAGCATATAATATACGACACAATATGCAGATATGTCCTTACAATGTATATCTCTAGAAAGTATCTAATAACATAAAAAAATGCATGCATTTGGATAGATTATATGAAGTGGTCCCCTCATATTATCTATCCAAAGCTAATATAGATCGACAGTGCATCTTGTTAATGTACACGCTATAAGCTTGACTTCAAAAATACTTTTGTCGGAATTTAAAATTGGAATTTTTTTCAAGACTTACCCGCATCGCGTGTGGACTTCTTGAATAATCTACTGGCTGACATCTGAAACTATGTGACCAGAACCAACCGCTGACGATACTCTGAAAAAAAAAACGATTATAAACACGCGTATAGATATAGAATACAGGTAGGTTATACATATTGAGATAAGAAATATAATTACTATACGAAATTTGCGTAACTAAACTAACGTAAAATCGAAGAAGTATATGAATTATACTGTGCTTACAGAAATATCAAAGGCTTTAAAGAAATACTGAACTACACTTTCGTTTTTTTATGACGTGTGTCACTGTAGCTCAATGGGTAGTATTGTCAAGGCTCGAGTTTCTCAAATAAAAAAAACTCACCTCATAAAACAGCCAGGCACTGAAGATAACTTGGATTAGGTTGTACCAAATCAGGACTTTTGTTAAATCGAAGGGTTTTCTGTCTTTCATGAAATAGGGTCCTAATACCTGTAACAAGTGTAATTTGAATGATTAAAATTTTTACATAATCTATATAGCGAACCTGTAGCTAAAAAAGTATTCTTTCCGTGAAAGCAGATGTTTTACTGGACCTTTTTGCAAGGCTGTCAGCAAACTGTACATTTTATATTAAACGACTATCATCTATTATAAAACGAAACAACATCGGGAATCTAAATATGATAATTATATAGTGAAATAACGTTGACATTCTTTATTAAAATAAATGATGTAGTATTTATTGAATTAACAACAGTAGTCATCTCTAATACATTGTACATATAAATTTACATCAAAGTACACACGTGCAAAAGTGCCCTTGAATAATAGCTTTTACTGACTTATCCTACAAAATTCCAACAACGTCACAAGCGGAATGTCCATATTAAACCAGTTGGACCGCTCTGGCTTCGAAATGTAACATAAATTAGGTATTAATTCATGCCATTTTATGTAATGAAATGTCGTCGCAATGTCAATATCATGCGCAGTAAGTGTGTAAAATGCTGTCTATGTTTCTCCTCTCTCTTTCTAATGCGTACAAAAAACTAAAGAAGAAACGGGATCACATTTTTTTTCAGTTCCTATTTCGAAAATAATTTAAAAAAAGGAAACAGATTTACGGACAAAACAAAAGATGGCGGAATTATTTAGACAGACCTTCTCGACAAGTTCAATGTGTAGGTATGTTATAATTAAATAAGATGGGTCATTTGATGTTTTTAACAGCCATTTGAGCCTTATATTATATGTCCAACTGATGTTTGTGAGTTCGTGAGTTTAAAGCCTATAAAAATTCTAACTCTCCGGAGGAAAACTTGCCGGGAGACAAGCATATCCGACTATCAAAAATATGTATTTGTTGGTTGTACTCTAAAAGCGGTGGCGCTAGGGTCCACTAAAAATCAGTGGCGCAAGACGTGTTTTAGTGACGTTATGCTGAGTGGCTCCTGTTTTAGTAATTGTCATTGTTAAATTTTGAAAATCTTATAAATGAATAAGTTAATTTGGCTCATAGAGTTTTTTTTTGCAAAGTTTTTAAAAAATGTTTTTATCATTATTATTTAATGCCAAAACACATTTGGTAGGATGCCTTAGTGGGAATTAAGGGACTAGGGATACTGAGAAAATTTATACAAAAAATCTTGACGTTTATATTTGCCATGGAACGTTATAGGGAGAGTATTCTAAGCTGTTATACTGTAGTCTGCATTGTTGTATTATGTACTCACCTTTACAATGAAAACGTATGTGAGACAGATGCATAATGTGGGGAAAGGCGATGACATTAGGAACCAATCTTTCACTCTCGGATCACTTTTGTTGTCCATTAGGTCATAATAGCCGTCTACTATCCTGTTGACTATGTCCATTTTGTCTGAAACAAGAAGACATTCTCTTTCAACCGCTATGAAATAGAACAGAAAGAAAAGAAATAGATTTTTCAAATAAAACACTTTAAACGGTTTAAATCGCGAAATATATTAGACAAATCATTCCTCATTTATTGTAACTACAACCCGACGTTTCGAATGCTTTAAAGCACTGGTTCTCTTCTTGATTTTTGTAACTTGGTCACGAGACTTGGATTCAATAAATTTTACGAGTTATGTAGTCTACAAACATAACACTTATGACGGTTTTAAACAAAACATATTAGTATTTTTTAACGGATTTGTCGTCCTCAGATTACATTTACTTCCAGTTTTTAGTTAATACTATGTTATTTATATCTAAATTAAAACACTGTATGAGCCAAGTATCTTTAAAACGTTTTGTGATAAAAAACAATAGTTTGATGGAGGATAAATGCAATTAAAAATGTAACTTAAGTATACACATAGATACAGTGTACTCAATTAAACCTAACCTTCCTTAATAAATAAACATTGATTACGTTTAATAATACTGTATATGGATCTTTGCATTTATTAAACACGTCATGGAAGGAAATAAGGGTTCTTTGGTAATTGTATGTTTTCCTTAATAGCAATGATTCACATTGTTAAGAAAATGGAAAAAGTTTTAAACCCAAACAATTATAAATATAAGACTATTAAGTGGCTAGAATTAAGAAAACTTCAATAAGGAATAATGTATAACGCACGAATTGTGTTTTGATTTCTGGAAAAGCACTTAAATCTGGTCAAGAACATAAATATAATCTTTTTTACTATATATATATTGAATCGAGGTGTGAAGTAGATTCTGTAATGCTCCACGCCCCACGAAAAAGACTTGGGTCATTTTAATTATAACTTCTTACATCTTATCTAAATAGATAATCTCTCAGAATGAATTCAAAATAAGGAAAATAATACTAAAATTGAACAATAACAACAATAGCTGTCATCAAAATGACTCTTTATAGAAAATGATGAAAAAGATTCAAAAGAGTTTGATTTTTACCCACAGACATCAGTTATATATTATCTGTTTGAAATTTGATATATTATAGATTAATTTAAGTAGCTTTAAAATATAAGTAGCGTAAATTTATTTAATTTAATAGAAGGCTGAAAATATAAACATAGTGTCCGTTACGTTAAATGAAGTTACATTATTTATTACTTCGTATACAGCCAACTTAGGAGCAATTTGAGCTTAGCTGTACTACATAAACTATAAATGAAATTACATTTCGCGAGAGGTGCATGTAGCAATAAGTTGAAAAATTTCAGAGTGTAGGACTCGGTAGCTCAATTGGTAGAGCAACGGAAAGCTGACGAAGCCGGTTCAGTTTCTGCCCGAGTCCAAAATTGTATCAATTTATTTTCGATTTTTAATCTTCATAAACTTTATTTATTAATAATAATAAATATAAACCTTATGAAGAATTAAAAACGATGTTAAAAACATAGACAATATATAGATAGACATATACCACCGAATATTAAAAGACAAATCGACTGGCTTCCAATTCGACTGCGGCGCAAAAACATCTCGAAATTTAGTACCTCTGCTAACGGTATGCGCGCCTTATTCAATTTCTATCACATGAATATTTAAATGATAAAAATACTTGGGGTATGGAGGAACGCGCTCTAACAAGGAAGAAGATGTACACATTAAGTGCGTAAGGAATTTTAGGAAATTTGTAATAAAAACTAAGCAATGAAAAGAAGTGGCGGCGAGTTTCTTGACAGTTCTTCTCGTTCGTTCTACGCCCTTAACTTGGGAGCTGGTAGTAACTGTAAATTTAGAGTTTTAAATTTTTAACTGTTTTGACGTTCATAAGTGTAATTGAATAAATAATTTCAGATTATTTGTTTTTTTTTTTCATAATTCTAGTCTATTATCTATAACATTTAAGATTACTTTGGACCTGTATATTAATTATTTTTATGTCTTATAATGAGGTATTGACAAAGAGGCGTCGTTCGCAATCGGCAAGGCCGAATACACTTTTATGCTTGGGATATATTAAAACGTTTCTAAATGTAAAATACGCGTATAATTATTTCGACATTTTTTAATTCGACCATGGTTGCTCATTTGATTTTAGAACGTTTATCTCAAATGAGTTACGCATACCGGATTAAATATTCTGACGCGATTAGCGCGCAAGAAATTGTTGTTACAAAAAATTATTATATTTGTAAATTTTTATTACCTTTGTGCCTAACGTAATCTATACTTTTAGCGTATTACACAAGAAAAAAGACAAGCAAGCTCCGGCTACACATCATATAAATTAGGTGTATTAATAAAAATTGTCGGAAATCCCAGTGTGTGGATTCGGAATCGAAACGACGGACTCATTTTACAGTTTTTCCAAACGTGGAAGGTGGATTGCGTTCCTTACGGGAATTCAATATTCCTACCAGTCATTTAATATCCAGAATTTCCAGCAGAAGTCTATTCTGCATAAATAGACTAAATACTGTCTGTAGCTAACGTGAGTAGTACACATTTAAATGTAACATTGTAAGGGTTTAAAATGCGAAATATATTTGTCAAACTTATTTACAAATTATTATAACTCCGATGTTTCGGATGCATGTAAAAATAATGATATGAAATATATTACTATGTCGCGTTTTAACCATTAAAGTGTTTAACCGTTATTTAAAACTGTATCATGATTCAGAAAAATATGTTTTAGCGGACAGATTATAAGAATCTGAAGAAAAACGTGTATTGCTAATAGCTACATGAGATTGTTATTAAAAAGGTTTTACCCTGAGCTCCTTAAACACTATTATTACACGGTTCTGATCGTCTGTGACCATTCTTTTTTATGAGTAAAATATATCCACTTTAATAACCGGTTCGTTCTAAACACGTATTAGAATTATTGTTTTCAATCGACCATAGGTAATTTACTCACGATACAAGGAAAGGGTATAGATTAAAGAGTAATACAGATTATACAATGAAAAAAATATTTTTATTGCACAGTTGACAGGATTCAAGCATAGATGGAAATATCCGTGAAGCCTTTTTTGTGATTTGGTAAGTATGGATTTGCAAAGCTTCATAAGATGAATGAACTTCTACGTTGTAGAAGTTCTAGGTAACTGTATATTATGACGGCAACTGAACAGCATCTCAGAAGTCGAAGTCGAGTAGTTAAAAATTAATTAACTAATATATTTCGCGTCACAGCGTAAAGAAGTATAATATTAAATCTTTGATGCCCACCGTGATAAGTTTTATATGTAATATAATTTTATTGAGTTTAACTAATAAAAATGACTTAGATTTGATCTAATGAAAAAATAATCCAGCTATCATAGAGCTGTTTAAATTTAGAAGCTAGCACAATAGGTTGGAGTCATAATGACAGGCATTACGATCAAGTTATGGTAGTACGCAATGAACCAGAAGGTACCGCCGTAGCATACACATAGTTGATTAGATGTGACCGCGACTACAGCATTGCCACTTGGCCCTGCGGCACCTTGGGTACCTTGGCCTTGACATTTCTCGCAAATTTCACTCTGCGTATGGAAAATGGACATGTTACTCACACGTCCATTTTCTATATGTAGAGTGATTTTTTAGTTGGCAGCTATTTGAATTTAGAACATTTAATGTGCAGTGTTTTAAATTTAAATTTAGAACGTAAAATTTCGCTACCAAATAGCGGAAAACTCAACAACAAAATGTATACTGTCTATAGTTTACGCGAGTAGTACACATTTAAATAAAACACTTTAACGGTTTAAAACGCGATATATTTTAGTTAAACTTGTTTGAAAATTATCCCCGTAACCACAGCAGCTGCAAAGCATCCGAAACGTCGGGCCGAAGTTACAAAATCATTTTTCAAATAAATTTAACTAATATATCGCGTTTTAAACGTTAAAGTGTTTTATTTAAACAAAATGTATGTTTATTATACAATATTTCATACGTCAAAGAGTTATTTAAGGGCAAATAAATGATGTAAATCAATATCTGAAATTTTTATAATGATGTTTGGTATATTCACCGTTTTTATTAATATCAGTTGTGCTTTTGGAATATAAAAAAAATTAACTGTCCTAGGAAACTTGCGTTTTCACGACATTCGTAGGATAATAGAAAAAAAAAATAGTAATTCTAATTTGTGACAATTCTTTATAAAATGTAAACAATGTTTGTCTGTTGGGATGGTAATCGAATCCGCACCCACCGCGACGTGTTGTTGCAATATCAACAAAGCTATCGTGTTGACAGCATAGCTCAATTTAAAATATAAAAAAACGAATAATTAGAAATAGTTAATAAATTACAAAATTCTAACTGCAACATCCAACAAAGGTCTGCAGTTAGAATATTGTAATTCAATTCAAAATTCAACAAAGACAAGCTTTAAGTACCTACCTACCTACCTAGATATCATTTTACCCTTTGTAAGTAAATCAACTGCGAACTGCGAAACAGATTCACATAATTATTATTTATATTACGAGAGATAATGTTGTGATATTAGCTCTAGTAATGTTCCAAAGAATGCAATACTCGTAAACGGAAGAAAACAATGAGTTTTCCACATCAAGTACCTTATGTAATAATTAAATGCAATAGATTGATGAGTCAACACTGTATTTCCTGCGATGGACCAGTTTATAATCGTGCTCTACAAGTAATTACTATGACAAAAGATTTCAAAACACGTGTCTGATTTTTCCTAACAAGTTTCAACGCATTTCTTGACATTCTGTATTGTAGATTGTGATCAATTATACAATATTCACACGGTATTCTGATATCGTAAGACTGGTCTTTGGTCTTGTAGATTTACACTCAGTATATAGTGTTGTGGAGGTTTTTTCATGATAGAGGAGGACAGATATGACATGGGGTTGCAAGTAGATGATATACCTCCGCCTCTAGCGTCTAAGCAAGATGCGCTCTTGACCTATTTTGGCTTTGGATATTAGGAAATCC